ATATGTATATGTATATGTATATGTATATATATATATATATATATGGATGGATGGATTCCTGGATACAGATTCCAAAAGTTGAGTACTTGTAATTAGAGTATATTACCTTTTGAAATGGTAATAGTGCCATCTCTACAAAAAGCATTGTGTTCCTGAGAGTTCAAGCAGCACTGAAATCCCCATAATGCACTTATTTGCTCCATTAAAGAAAATAAAAAAAAGAACATAAAAGAGGCCCTTTTTCCAGAGGCACTAGAGAACACAAGCGTTTGTGATGAAATTGAAACAAAGCATCGGTCCGCTTTCTCGTGTGTTTGTATGATTTGGCCGGAGTTCAGCTGGACCCCTCACTGCCTACTAAAATAATAATAAACATCATAAACATTATTTATCCAGTACCTGGCATATATTTAAAATGATTTTCATTAATGGAAAACTTTAAAAGTAGAGAGGGATGAAAAGAAATGAAAGATTTTTATTTGTATTTTTTTAAGAAAATAAAGTTCACTTTAACTGTACAGGCATTATCAGCCCCTGCTGTGCGACTTTAAGCATTTTGTTGGAAAAAAGGTTTGATGGCCAGTGCTGATTGTTTTTTCATGTGCATTTTTCTTCCAAGGAAAATAATTATTCATTTAGACATGTATTAATTGGATTCATATATTCCACACACACACACACACACACATATATATATATATCATGTGGGAATATAAAACTTATTTTAAGCATATCTGGCCGAAAATGTGCTTAATTGTCAAGATTTTCTTCATATAAAATATTGTGTCTTTTTAGAATCGAATGTTTTTTCCTGTTGAATTTAGGGTGAACTTTGACCCTTTATTTCATATATTTATCATAGAATGATTTTTATTAAAAATAGTATTGTATATGAAGCCGGTTGCTCATGAACGCACTGGGATTTGGAGGAGAGCAGGAGTGTGTTGCTCGGAGCAGATGGGTGTTGTTCAGATGGGAATAGGATTTAAAGCGTCTGCTGCTGGGTTTTTCTCTCGCTAATTCAAAGGTTGTTTACTGGAAGATTATTCCTCAGTATAGTAAAGGTTCCCTCAAGGAAAATTAAGAGATTATTGCTCTACAAGAATGGCCACTTGCCATATCTTTTTTTGTTTGTCTAAAAATGTCCCCTAAAATTTCCATTATTTCTGTTTCAAAAATATTTCTAGTTTTTCTATTTCATTTAATTTTATTATTATTATTTTTTTTAATCATAGTGCGAAGAAGCTTTTAATGCACTTTTCATTCAAATTGGTTTGCTGATAATATAATTTCTCAATTTCAAACAAATATATAAATTAAATTAGAAAATGTAATATAGAAGACATTTGGACACCCACTGTATCCAGTATATGATTTGTGTTTATTAATAGAAGTACTGAGCCTCCCGCAGTGTGTGGCCTTAAACTCAAGGCCTCACTGGGAGGCTGTGCTGGGATTTAGGATCAGTGTTGGGTTTTCCCCTAATCACGTCTGACAATGGAAGTAACCTGATTGAGCCGATGTCAGGCCCACTACTCCAATTTTACACTATACGGCCCTAGATTAGTTAATCTGGACTAGACTCTGAGATTAGAGCTGAATTAGCCTCTGAAAAGAAGAGATTTCGCACACCCCCCTCAACCCTGCTTCATATACACCATAATCTACTCTGACAACTACACCACTGCTTTCTGGTTCTAGAAACAAGGATCTGATTGCCGAAAATATATAAAAACAAAACCAAGAATGTCTTTTTTTGTTGTTGTTAGTTTTGGAGTTGAATTGCCCCTGTCCCCATTCACTTTTATTGTGTGGAAAAGAGCTGCCAGAACATTCTGCAAAACATCTCCGTTCAAAATAGTTTGGCTATTTCTTTAAGAAGTGCATATGAACTGTATGTAGCTTTCTGCTAAATCATATCAATCAAGTACAGTACATGTGAATGGAAGTGACTGAAGATGAAATCCTTATCTGACTCTCTGGATAGTCGCCCAGATCTCTGACAGGCGGGCGTCCAACGACTTACCATTTTATCCAATTTACAGTGTTTAACCATTAAACCTTCTTGAAATGTCACCATCACTGTCAGGCGCTAAATTTGTCCTTTACACTTGGATGGCAGACATAGTGTTGTGACAAAGAAAACAGAAGCTTTGTTCAGGTCTGTCTGAATTCAATAGGTCAAGATGTTGGAGTGCTGCCGTGACGACCTGCTCCAACCCTTCCTTTCTTTTTCTGTTAGCTATTTTAATGTGTGTGTGTGTTTATATATATATATATATATAGAGAGAGAGAGAGAGAGAGAGTGTATATATATATATATAATACTAAAATAACACATCTTTAACCATTATAAACGTTTTTTCAATGGCTTGAAAAAAGCTTCAAAAGAGCTTAAGTTGATGTGTGAAGAAACAGAAACATCAAAGAAAATCATATTTGTCTTTTTATTTATTTATTTACAATCATTTACAATTGTCAAATAATTTAATTGCATGCCTTTAGGATACATAAAATTGATAGTCTTAGCAAGACAAAGGTGTATGTTACTTTATTCCCAATAATAAGAACAGGAACAGGGAAAAGATTTTTAAAAAAAAATTGTTTTTGGTGGAATTGAGATATGATGGAAATTACATTTATTCATGACAGCGGAAATGCATCTTACGTTAATTTTGGTGAAGAATTCCGAAATTCGTTTTGGTGCGTTTTGGACACTGTTAGTAGAATAAGTGAAAAGAATGAACGGAGCACAAAGTGAAAAAGAAAGAGAAAACAAAGCTAGAGATGGCAGATGTCACACAGGGTTTGATCTGTCACATCCACTGCCTGCTTCCCGTCAAACACGGAGTGCTGCCGTGACGACCTGCTCCAACCCTTCCTTTCTTTTTCTGTTAGCTATTTTAATTCAGGTGAAGCCAAAGTTACCTAAACGTTTACACAACTTCCTGCTGAAGTAAGGAGTTGTGATAACTGAACCCATGACTATTGTGATGATGTCTATTCCCAGAATTACTGTTCAGCTTGTCAGCTTGATCATCATCATCATCATTTTTTTTTTAAATCTTTAAAAAAAATTAAGGTCACATTAAACCATTTTGGAAACTGTCATGCATTTAAAAATATATCATACAAATATTGTTTTTAGTTTTCAGTGTTGTTATCATTTCACTAAAACCAACAACAGCAATAATAATAATGATGATAAAAAGTTTTCAATAATTGAAATAAAGCTGAAATAAAAAACTGTTTAAATATTTACTATTGAAACATTGATAAATATTTAATTATTGGTACTGAATATTGATAAAAAAAAATGTAACATGAAACCTGGTAACTGATATAAGTTAGAAGTTTAAGCACTACAAATAATTATAACTAAAACTGAAATAAAATACAAGTTAATTAAATGAAAAAAAAAAACTAAAACTTAAATTAGAATGAGAAATAAAAAATATTAGTTAATTAAAAATTATAAAATTGAGATATGATGGAAATTACATTTATTCATGACAGCGGAAATGCATCTTACGTTAATTTTGGTGAAGAATTCCGAAATTCGTTTTGGTGCGTTTTGGACACTGTTAGTAGAATAAGTGAAAAGAATGAACGGAGCACAAAGTGAAAAAGAAGGAGAAAACAAAGCTAGAGATGGCAGATGTCACACAGGGTTTGATCTGTCACATCCACTGCCTGCTTCCCGTCAAACACCCTTTACCATCAAACTCAACGGATTTAAACCAGAGTCCGTCAGCTCAGTGTCTGAACCATCTGGCAGTCTTAACATTCATCTCTCTCTCTCTCTCTCTCTCTCTCTCTCTCTCTCTCTATCTATCTATCTATCTATGTCTGATTTCCAATGTGCTAAACTTCAAACTCACTTCAAACTGCCCAAGTATCCTTTATAAACTAACCTTTCAGACAAGCAAGCATTCAGAGTTTCTCTTTACGAACACTGATTTAGAATTAATTCAACGCAATATATGTCGAATGATCATCTGTGGTTTTAATATCCTCCACCGAACCATTGATACCTTACGAAACCTGGAATTGTTTGGCCCACGCTTGTGCCATCTGTTCATACGATCCCTGCCATGATGGAATACACCCAAAACCCATTAAAGATGAAGTCCCTGTAAGCTGCGCGGTCACAGCACGTGGCAAACTTGTAGACAAAGGGCTAACCCTACAAGATGTCACATCTAGTCAAACACTTGGTCTTAGCAAGAGATCTTACACGGTAGATTGTGCAATTAATCGTGTATATTTCAACTCTTCGAATTTAAATCCCATTAAACCCAATGGCAGCAATGGAGAACAAGGAAGCCACTCTCATAATTGAACTCCTCAATGGATCGGACCGCAAATTACGGGACTGTATTTCGACATCTCAGCAATCCAGACAGATCGTACAGGTGGGCAATGAAAGAGTATCACTGACTTCTCGACAAGCTTCCTCAGAAGAATTAACAAATAGGATTAGTGGGCAAGAAAAATCTCCCAAAGAGCCATCTGCTAAGCCGCATGGGGAGACGTCAGCTCAAAGCTACATGATCGCATCCCTCTGTGACAAGGAAAGGATGTTCTGACAATGCAGACTAATTAATTCAACTCTCCACAAGTTTTTTGGGGGGCTGTAAGGAGTGATGCCCAAATTTTATCAGTCAGTGAACTAAAAATTGAAGACTTTTTCTCTAAAGTGTCCCGGGATAAGGAATCGCTATGCCTGATCTGTCTTTTAAATGCATTTGGTGGGTTTTGGTATTGTTGTTGACCGGACATTGTTCCTTAGATGCAGGTATGTATCTACTCTACATGAAGGCCTTGAGGAGTTTTGTGATGCTTGCAATCTTGTGACCATGTGTTCTTTGTTCTTCATCAGATTCTGGAACTCACAAGGATTATTTACCAAATGGATATAAAACTTTTTCGGACGCCAGTGAAGTTTTGAATCATACGTTGGTGCCAGTTAAAGGTAAAACCGCGAGTTACATGCCTGGTGAAGGGAAAATGGCTCTTTCTAGACGGAAAAGAGACCTCCTGTTTCCCAGTGGAGTTAAACTTTGCTCACATGAGACAGTGCAACAGGCAATACAGAATCATCTCAACTACTTTCACCTGCGAGGTAAGAACCAGACATTTCGTTTTTACTTTCTTTTGAAGGATTCTGGGATAGTCGCCTAAGAATGGTAATTGTAAGGTACAGTACGTTGCAGATGACTTCTATAGTGTAAATGGATGCTCATTATGTGAGAAAAATGAGCTCATACTTCTCTACTTTTCATCAATAATAAGCTAAGCCAACTTGACCGGTTCCATTAACATCCAAGTAACCTCATATTTGACCACAGTTTCGAAACGTCAGAAACACACTGTCTCTTTGTCTCTGTCTTACAACCAGACATTTCGTTTTTACTTTCTTTTGAAGGATTCTGGGATAGTCGCCTAAGAATGGTAATTGTAAGGTACAGTACGTTGCAGATGACTTCTATAGTGTAAATGGATGCTCATTATGTGAGAAAAATGAGCTCATACTTCTCTACTTTTCATCAATAATAAGCTAAGCCAACCTGACCGGTATTTGACCACAGTTTCGAAACGTCAGAAACACACCGTCTCTTTGTCTCTGTCTTACATATAATTGTGCACAAATATTCAGACGCACTCAACACACTTTTCCACATCATGCTCTTTCTAAGCTTCACATATTAGCCTGTGAAGTTAGATACAATCAAAGTATTAAACTCTATTGGAGACCACCGCTGAGAATAATGTTTCTCGCTAGTGCATTAATAGGACCCAGATGACCCTAGTGAATCTAATTACGACAACTCGAGAACCAAGTGTTGCTGTTTTACATAAAGGTTATTCTTGCAGTGTGTCAGTGGAAAGTTGATTACGTTTAGCCACGGAACCCTATTAAAGGGCACTCTGATGCTTTATTACATGTAGAGCGGGGTCCAAAAGTCAGAGACTACTTGTGAATGTGTCTGGTTTGCATTTTTATAATTGAACACAAATACAATTTGTGTGAAACACTGATTTAAAATAATAAAAAAGTGTCTGGTGTTCCCCCACTGTATATGCCAAAGAAATTAATTCATCCAAAAATGAAAGCAAAAATATATTTTTCTTACTGTACACTCTTAAAAATACATGTTCCAGAGGGTTTTTTTTTGTTTTTTTCACAGTGATGTTCATAGAAGAACCATTTGGGTTCCTCAAAGAATATTTCTGTGTAAATTTAAAAAATCTAAAGAACCTTTTCCAACTCTAAAGTACCTTTTGTGCAATGTTGTTCTTCATGGAACCATAAATGCCAATAAATAACCTATATTTTTAAGAGTGTATATAGCCTAGACATTCAACTCAATAACTTCTCTAGAGTTCCATGGATAAACAGAAATCATATGGGTAAATAATGACATAATTTTTATTTTGGGGTGAACTGTCCCTTTAAGGCTGATAATAAAGGTGTGGCTGTCAGCAGGGGGCTTGAGATGTCCAACAAAGCTGTTAAAGTCAATTGCTGTCAACATGTATCGTTCCAGTAGGAAAGGCCAGAATTCCCCATTTCTACCCCATTGCTACTGAATCACTGTAGACGGTGATAAGATCCTTCACTCTGCCAAGAAAACTTGTGACCTTTGCCTTTCTACGCACTTCTGTTAGTCGTCATACATAGGTGGTATGGTGGGCAGATGTAGGTGGAACATTTCGACTGGAGGTGGAAAATGTTTAGCAACCTGGCCAGGACGCATCCTGGGAAAATGGCACGTATGGTCACCCTAGGTTAACATCCCCCATCTGCGCATTTAATTTTCCACTTGCAGGGTACATTGAGAAAGTATGCGGCACGTACCGAAATAGTAATTTTGGTTCACAAATTGAGAAATAAAAGAAACTAAGTGTGTCTGGAGCAATTGACGTGTGAGGATAAGGATAAGAGATGGTTCCATTATGTTAGTTACTGCTTTTTCTTTATTTAATTTAGAAATAAAGAAAAAAATATGTTACTTCTGTATTTGTGTCTTCTAAATGAAAGGGGTATCCATTCAAAGTGATGTCAATTTCCACTACAGCTCATAGTTCATAGCTGGTGTTTTGGCAGATTATTTCTTCTCCACTGTTTACAGTTCACTGGTTCTTTTTCAAAACCTAGCAAGCTGCATTACTGTCTGCTGTCTACACTGGCATCATAATCATAACTGCAATTGAACCTCATAAGTGACTGATCTAGAGTGCACTCATAGACAGCAACTCTACAAAGTGCATAGTTTAAATGGCAACATAGGTTAGCATGTCGCTAATGCAGTGATGCACTAAAAAAAGATTTATACACCATTTTATTGATACTTTGTCAAAATATATTGTAAAGATATTGAGAATTGTCAAAAATAAGTACATTTTCCTCAATGTTTTGGCTGTTTTACTGTTCCTGTTTTTTCTCCTACATTTAAGAGCTTGTGTGTGTTTACATTGTATGGGTTGGCATGCTTATGGGTATCTGTAGATCTGTTTGCATTTGTTTGTGCCTTAGTGTGCCAGGAAACAATTTGGGAGGCTTTCAAAATCTTCTGGGATCGCTTACCTGAGAAAGAAGAGTACCAAATCTGGATGAGGAAATGTCAAAATAGTAGTGTTAGCGTGTTTGACATTAGCCGGAGCTTTAGCCAGTCAGCTGAGCACCTTGCTCTGATTTCAAGTGTAAGTATACTTGTTTATGTCATGGTACTTAACAAATAACTCTTAAATTAAAAGAGAGAAACAAAAAACTACTTTATGGTATTTTGCAGAGGGTAGGAGCGGCTTCAGTGACATCAACAAGGTGAGAACTGCTTACAAACATTTCCATCATAATAACATGGTATTCTTTGAAGCACTTTGGAGTACCATGTTAATATCATGGTACTATATGATATATGATAGGATAGGAATATGATAATATTGCAGGAAATTTTAAGCTTTACACTGTATTGCATTTCATCACAAGTTGCTGTCAAACTCGGTTCAGCACAGCGCACTTATCTTAAATCCATATTTCACATAATTATGTGCTATGTAGAAAAATACAGGAACCCACATTGCATTCCACTGTTTCTAAAGTAACAGTGTAATCACATTATATTTCACTATATTTGTCTTATGATAGTGCGCCCACCAGCCCATGGCAACCTGAATGCAGGTAGGACTTCAAGCTCCCAAGCTACTTATAGGCATGAAACAACATAATTTGCATACAGTAGTACCGCTCTGCAGCCTAAACATAAATAAATCTGCAAATGCACAGTGTGGAGCTCAGATTGTAACATATGTAACATAATACTAAGACTATATGAATAATCTAAAACACCAATTATTTCTTTAGCAAGGCAGCTAAAGTAGCTAAGTCAGAGCACACACTGGTGCTTTGCAGACAAAATCATGCATTAATAGTAAAAGCTGGATGCAGAACTCTGGCTTCAGACTGCAAATATTTCAGTCATACCTTTAGTCCCTGCTGAAGCTAGTTTACTTTCCACTAGCTTTAGAGACATAGCACTGATTATGGTTCAATTCATATCCTGAAGGGGGGAAACTAAACTTGGTTGCCAATAAGAAGTTTAGATTTTGTAGATTTTGGTATGTTTAGATATGTTCCTGGCCTTAAAAACATTTATAATTGTCTTTTCTTTCGCAGACATCAGACAAAGACTACTGCGCCAACACAAGCAAACGTGGCCACAACCCAACAAGGTCAGTCTAGTTTACTGCATTGTTTGAAAAAAAATATGCTTCTTAAACAATGGATCGGTGTTCCCACTCCGTGTTTATAAATACTTCAAAATATTAGCCAAAGTCTAGAAAGTCTTATTTCTATTGACTGAATTTTGCAGTGTGTTGATATAAGTTATGCTCTGATATATCTGTATTGTTAATGTCTGTATGCGACCCTGCAGTCATATCAACAGAGATCTAGTGCTCTATGGTTCAGGATATACACTGCTCTCAGAATAGACTTTAATCCTTTTTAGGCACTCAGAGACTTGTAATGCAGTAGAGGTGTCAGGATCCTTAGAAATAGTTCTGCCATTTAGTCAAGTGTAACTAATTATTTGTGCATGGACTTGGCCTCAATGATAGGCTACATGTTTGGCCCTGATCCTGAAGAAAAATAAGTGTACGCAATTAATGGGTGCAATTTACAATATGAAATTCAGAAATGATTCAAACTTCCTCTTATGACATACATTTTCTTTTTTCTGCCACTTCCTCACTCTCTTTCTTTCTCTTTCCTCACCCAGTCAGTATTATGGTTCCTGAGGCAGTAACAGATTCACAGGACATCACACCACAGACCACTGAAGACCAAATCTTATTCACCACTATGGCTGCAGAGCTTCAGATGACAATTGGAATCAATCCTGAGCCTGATCGTATCACAGCCTTTGAGGACTCGACAGGGATAAGCACTAGTTCACCTATAGAACTCACAAGTGTGGCCACTGTGAAACCTATTTCAGAACCTAAACTGGAGGTAAAACTGGATGCTACTGACAGTCCTGTCAAAATATTGAATTATACCATTCAACATGAAGAGGTTGAAATAGTCTTAGAGTCTAAATTAATGACAACTGATAGAACTCCAGAGGAGTCTACTTCAAGAACGTATGATTATGAGATTCCCACGGCCTTTGAGGACTTGCTAGGAATAAACACTTCTCCTACAGTAGTCACCAGTGATTTTACTGAAGAGCTTTATTCAGAAACAGAGTTGGGACAGGATGTTACCGATGGTCCCGTTAACACAGCAGGTGTTACCATTCAACATGAAGCTGATGTTGTCTCAGAGTTTACATTATTGACCACTGATAGAACTCTAGAAGATTATACTTCCGAAAAATATGAGCATGATATTCCTGCAATCTTGGAGGCTTCACCCGGGGTAAGCACTAATACCCCTACGGAAATCATCAGCGAATTCACTGAAGAGCTTCATTCTGAATCAGAACTGGAGGTGGGACAGGATGCTACTCAGGGTCCGGTTAAGACAACAGGTGTTACTATTCAACATGAAGAGGTGGCCATTGTCTCTGAGTCTACATTAATGACCACTGATAGAACTCCTACTTCAGGAAATTATGAGTATGCTATTCCCACATCCTTTGAGGACTCAATAGGGATAATCACTATTTCACCTACTGAGCTCACAAATGAGGCCCTTGTGAGACATGACGTTACTGAGGGTCCTGTTAAGACAGCAGATGTTACCATTCCACATGAAGAGCTTGACATTGTCTCAGAGTCTACACTGTTGACCACTGATAGAAATCCAGAAGATTCTACTTCAGGAAAATATGATTATGATATTCCCACAACTTTTAAGGACTCGCTACGGCTAAGTAACAGTACTCCTACAGAAATCACTAGTGAATCCACTGAAAAGATTATTTCTGTAACTAAACTGGACATGGGGCAGGGTACTACTGAAGGTCCTGTTAAATCAGTAGATGCTGAAATTCAACATGTAGAAACTGATGTTGTGTCAGAGGCTACACTGATGCCGACTGGTAGAACTCCAGTAGGTTCCACCTCGAGAAAGTATGAGACAGATCTGCCCACAATCCTTAAGAACTTGCCAGGAATAAGTACTAATGCTCCTGCAGTAGACACTAGAGAATCTACAGAAAATTTTATTTCAAAAACTGAGATTAATGTTGGATGGGGTGTTACCGAAAGTCCTGTTAAATCAGCACTTGTTACCATTCAGCATGTAGATGAAGATGTCTCAGAAGCTACAATTATTTCTACCGATAGACCTCCGGTAGATTCTCCTACAGAAATATCTCCTGTTCAGAATGTCTTACCAGAGGAGCCAATGCAGACAACTCCTACAGAACTAAAAGAGGTTTCGCCTAATCCCTCAACAGAAGGGTTGCCAAAAGCTCTGACAGATAAGGATGTTGTCGAAATCACATATGTGACCAAAGTGCCAGAACTTCTGTCACCCACTACACCTGTAAATACATCACCAGATGTTGTATCAACAGAGGATGAACCTAAAGACATTGAAATTGTTACATTTCTTGACAAAAATGAGGAGGAAGAGACACCCTACACTAAACCTACACCAGAGATGACAACAAATGAAGAACTACCAGGTACCATGACAGATTCTCCTACAGAAATATCTCCTGTTCAGAATGTCTTACCGGAGGAGCCAGTGCAGACAACTCCTACAGAATTGAAAGAGGTTTCACCTAATCCCTCCACAGAAGGGTTGTCAAAAGCTCTGACAGATAAGGATGTTGTCGAAATCACATATGTGACCAAAGTGCCAGAACTTCTGTCACCCACTACACCTGTAAATACATCACCAGATGTTGTATCAACAGAGGATGAACCTAAAGACATTGAAATTGTTACATTTCTTGACAAAAATGAGGAGGAAGAGACACCCTACACTAAACCTACACCAGAGATGACAACAAATGAAGAACTACCAGGTACCATGACAGATTCTCCTACAGAAATATCTCCTGTTCAGAATGTCTTACCGGAGGAGCCAGTGCAGACAACTCCTACAGAATTGAAAGAGGTTTCACCTAATCCCTCCACAGAAGGGTTGTCAAAAGCTCTGACAGATAAGGATGTTGTCGAAATCACATATGTGACCACAGTCCCAGAACTTCTGTCACCCACTACACCTGTAAATACATCACCTGATGTTGTATCAACAGAGGATGAACCTAAAGACATTGAAATTGTTACATTACTTGACAAAAAGGAGGAGGAGGAGACACCCTACACTAAACCAACACCAGAGATGACAACAAATGGAGAACTACCAGGTACCATGACAGATTCTCCTACAGAAATATCTCCTGTTCAGAATGTCTTACCAGAGGAGCCAGTGCAGACAACTCCTACAGAATTGAAAGAGGTTTCACCTAATCCCTCCACAGAAGGGTTGCCAAAAGCTCTGACAGATAAGGATGTTGTCGAAATCACATATGTGACCACAGTCCCAGAACTTCTGTCACCCACTACACCTGTAAATACATCACCTGATGTTGTATCAACAGAGGATGAACCTAAAGACATTGAAATTGTTACATTACTTGACAAAAAGGAGGAAGAGACACCCTACACTAAACCTACACCAGAGATGACAACAAATGAAGAACTACCAGGTACCATGACAGAGAGTACTCATGAACAGTCGAAGGAAACACATGAGCCTATAAATGTCTCAAATGAGTTTGAAGATGATCATTTAGGTAAGGAAGAGGACATTATAACTGAGTCCCCAGAAGTTGCTGAGGTCACAGCTGGAGAGACACCTAGATTGACACAGGAGACTACTGAAGCTACCGAATCTGTGTTTACTGAGAAAGACATACGTGTTGATGAGGACATAACTACCATTGCGAGACCTGGTGAGATGACAAAAGAGGCAACAGAAGTTGCTGGGGTTGAATTTGAAGACATTGACACAGACAAAGTAACAGTTCTTGAAAACACACTTGAAGATTTAGTTGGAGGAACAAGTGAAGCTACTGCTGAATTGGGTGATGTAACTGAAGCTGTCATCTTAGAAGAATCATCTGAGGAAAGTCCTGAAGAAACTTCTACTAAAAGAACAGAAACTTCTACTAAGACCACAAGTCAAACCACAACTGGAATCACACCCAAGGCCACACTTGATACTTCTTTTGACATTGGTACCCCTGAAACTGATATTGTAGAGTTTGTAACTAAAGGCATGGAAGATAAGCAAGACACAACTAAAATGGATGAAGGTGATGTGGAAACAATTTTCAAAGTTGTTGAAGGCGCAATGCCAGATCTTACTGTTAATAAGTTGGAAAAAGATATACTGACAACTGCCATAAACAAGGACATACATGAAGTTACAGAGCCACCAAAAATTCCAGAGGACACACATAAAGTTACGGTGGAAATCACACATGAAGTCACATATGTGCATGAGACCTTACCTGAGACACCTGAAGCTGCAACAGAGACACCTAAGGTCATTACAGAAGCTGATGTCATAAAAGAGACAACTCATTTCATATCTCAAGTACCCAAAGTTATACTGAAGACAAGTGGAGCCATCTCAGAGACACCTGAGGTGACATCTCAGACACCTTTGTTGATATCTGAACTTTCAGAGGTGACTGAGAGAGCACCTGAGATACATGTGGTTCATCCAGAACCTGCAGAGGACGACATCCCAACTCCTATCTTGAAAGTAGAGGATATCACAGTTGTACTAAATGACTTGACAACTACTATTCAAAAGACTTTCTCCACCACATTACAAAACTTGCCACAGGACATTTCTAATGATATTTTAGATGAAAACAGCAAGGTGAGCACATCAAATTTATTATAGACAATTATTTAACTTTAAAAATACACTTGTGTATATATTTTTAACTCCGTAATTATGAGTTCCTCTTAAACATTTTTTTTTTTTTTTGTATATAGATTGGAAATGAAATTGATGACATTATGGTCCGACCAGCACGTCCTGTCGGTGATCATATTGTGGAGCTGAGTATTAAGATAAGAGGTGAAAGCTTTGATGATGCTCTGAGAGATCCATCAAGTTACTACTATCAATATCTATCTGAACTGTTCATCGATAAGGTAAGTAGCATCTATACATTTATATATTTGGCGAATGAAATAATTAAATTATTAGAATCCATAATCTTATGCCCATCAGGAAATATATATACAGTACTGTACATTAATAGCATCTCTTTTCTTTTGTTGAAGATTGAAGAAGTTTTTAAAAGGCTCCCAGGTTTCAAGAAAATACTTGTGCTTGAATTCAGGTATGATTTTTATATTAATTTATATGATTATGCATACAGATAAAAGCAATAGCATATATATATATATATATGTGTGTGTGTGTGTGTGTGTTGTTTTCTTAATATCATTCTTTTTTTTTTCTTAATAAAATATCTCAGGCCACAGAAGGACATTGAAGGGTAAGTATCCTAAATCTTATTTAGCTCGAACTCTGGGTCTAAATGCATTGCCTTTATAAGTCACAGTTAATCACATCTCAAAATGAAGAAAACAGACATTAATGTCATTTGGGCTATCACTACTAATATTTCTGCAATGTTTCACCCAGGCCTGATAAATCCCATCTCCCCACCCTGCCATATCACACAGCTGCGTGACCCATATCTCCTCCAAACATCTAATGAGAAATTCATGTGCCTGAATTTTCCACCCACCATATGTAGTGTTTTATAGAGCGTTGCTCTGAAATCACTTTCACACTGTTTTCTTGGTAAGGTCATGTGCTTGCTGCCTCATTAGCCTTGTGAAATCAATTGATTGCAAGGATGGTCACACTCATTTTGGTGTGACATATGTGTGTGTATGTCAGTGGGCTATTTTGTCTGGCCAGTCGCCATCTTAAGTGGGATAAGTCGCTGTGCTAAATGCATGCCCAGTTGCCAAGCATGATGGGATTAAATGCTAAATGTTCTTTGCTCTCAAGTGTCATCGTATTTTGTCTGTCATAGGAGACACAATTGATCTGGCCATGAACCCACTAGGTTTTTTAACCCTCTTAGAAAAACATGTGGCCAAAAAAAATTAGTTCAGCTCAACAGCTGGCTGCTGAATATTCTGTAGCAAATTTGGTGGTAGCTAGTAAAAAAACAAAACAGCTTAAACCAATGTCTCTCAGCCTGTCCATGCTGATTAAGCGGGTCTATTTTGATGATTTTAGAGAAATTTAGAGAGGTAACCATCACTTTTTATGCTGGTTAGACAGGGAGACCAGGTGGCTGATGAGTTAAACCAGCTTAACCAGGCTAGGAGACCAATCAGACCAACTTGGTTGTGCTAGGAGAACAACTAAACCTTAATCCATCTAAAACCACCAAGCCACCATAGGCCATTTACTGTAAGCTGTGCTTCTCTGAATTTATTTTAATTTACTACTAGGCATAAGAATTATGTAAAAGTTGTACAATATGATTAAATATGACAAACTGACAAAAACAGATAGCAGGCTCCAACATGACAAACTCCTGCTGTACTGTAAGTGAAGCTGTTCTTTTGTTTATACGAGTTGGAGTCATTTAATACATAACAACTCCAGTCTTGAGGCCAGTTTACAGCCAGTGATTATTATTATTATTATTATTATTATTATTATTATTATTATTTGACCGCAAAGAGTCACTGTTTTCTTTGCATTCTTCAGAGGCCTGGCAGTAGTGGTGCACTATGCTGTGGTTCTTGAGGGCGATGGTGTGGGCATAAGTAAAGAGACCATGGATTACATAAACCTACATTCCAACATGGTTGAGAACTCCTTCACAGATCCTGATGAGCTACCTACTGTTGTCTACACCATCACTGACTTCCGAAACTACATCACCGAAGCCCTCCACAGGGAGAATTTCATCAGAAACACCACTCTGGAAGTGGACCCTGATTCTTTGCAACTGGAAAATGGTAGGACATTCTCTAAGAGGTAGAGACACATTGCGGATCCATTATAGGGAACCTAAGACATCAGGGTGTTGAGCTGAGTGCTTCTTACGGAAGTTTCTTAGAATCATTCAGGTTCAAGTTTGTGTTCTGTCACAGTGGTAAATTGTAAATTGTAGCTGAATGAACCCAAAATGCAGTATGTTGACAATGTTGGTATATCCTCTTACACTGCCTGGCAGTACACAGTTTTAACAGAAGCAAGGAGCCTTCATGGTTCTTATCTCTGGTTTTGGCAGACTAATCTTGCAGCCCTCAGAGCCAGTCTGAGTATGAACTGTGCTTGAGCAGTTTTAAGTATAATTTGATATGATTTGTCTGTTTTGGCTTCACAGTGGAGACATTGCTGCCTTCCAAACCAACCAGCAGACCGCTTGACTCCAGTGACATGATGGTGAGTCAATGGTCATTGGCAGGACCACCCAGTAAACGGGTAACCATGACTGTCCAGTCCAGAATCCCTATCCAGAGCTGCAGTTTAGGATTTAGGGTTTTTTCACCTCATTGCAGTGCAATCACTTAAAGTGTGAATGTGAATCCTTCCAAAGCTGTTAAATGAAAAATGAGTCACACTAATGGCAATCACATGTAGGTTTTTGTTGTTACATGATAAGAAAGATTACCTTGCACATAAAATGTTTTTCATGGCATGTCATTAAAACAGATTATAGCACAGCTATGGGATAATACGGCAGGTCTGTAAAACTATTCAAGTCAATTTTCCAGCTCAAGTATTCTCTAGACACAAGTAAGCATGCAATTTTATGAAAATCGTTTTGCTCAGGCACTATGAAATATTGAAAAGAATATGTTTTTAATCTCAGTATGACATATATTTATTGCAGAGGCCGAGCAGCTTTCTTCACAGTCTGTAGTTTAATTAGAAAGACACATTGGATACCAAAGATAGCAATAATCTTAGAATTTACTCTCAGTTTTTCCTCTTACATTTGACAAAACTGGCACTTTTTTCAATACCCTTATTAAGTAGATTTACTGTCTTGTTTTGGCTGGTGCCCATGTCTGTATCTGGAAACATGTGTTCTCTCAGGTAATAGTATGCTTGCCTCCAAAGACACATGTTAGTTACTTAAAGTTGATGTGAGAAGTTGGTGCTTTATCTGATCTGCCCTGTTTAAGATGGATATTTGTGTGTGTGATCAGCTAGCTGTTGATGCAAATTATAACTAGTAGGGTGCATAAAACTAGTTCTATAGGAAAATCGGTCTAGCCATTTGTCCTATATTAAATGGTCAGTGGACCTAATTCAAGAAATACGAGCATAGCTCATTTCTGTGTAAAGTGTTTGTGAAACTATTCTTATGTAAATTGTCGCACTGAATTAAAAGTGACAGTTTACGTAAGAATGGTTTTACGAAAGATTACACAGAAAGTCATGCTGCTCGTGTTTCATGAACGAGGCCAGTGTGTGCAGCTGACAGTGATCTAGTTCCAGTAGCAGCTCACTCATTACTTGCATAAAAATAAAATGGTGTGATAACTCATGAATGTATATGCAACCAGTTGTTATATATACAACATGACATATTCCAAATCTGCATGAAGGTTAAATGTTAATATCTGGTGTATGGAACAGCTAAAAACTATCTTCTGGTCAAAAATGCCTTAGTCAATATCCCATCTAGGACCAGATCCTCAGGATGGCGTAAAGATCATGTGCATGTGTGCTTTTTTAGAATGTCTATGCAATTTTTCCACTGACATTTCTCTGGAAAAAATGGAAGATGCAAGTTTGAGGAAAATTTCTTCCACTTACACCATACATGTACTTTTTTTTTTACTCTTATTTTTTTAAATGGCCAAATGGTGAGATATAATTTTAACAGCTGAAACATTACGACATTCAGTGGACATAGGCCTAAGTATGGAAAGTTACAATGTCTTTTGGCTCATCTTTTTGTCAACAACATTTATGTAGACTTACCTTAAATATATTTGCTTTATGTCTCAATAATAATTTAACAGTTAATAGTAACTAACCATGACTGTTCAATCATTAAATCCTAGGATAATGTTCTTGCTTCTGAGAAACCACCAGATGTTACCAGGCAGGAATTATCCAACAATGACATCTCCATTACAAATAATGACTTCCTTGACCGCATTCACATGATAGATCTCTGGATGGATGGACAGAGTGAGGACACAAATGATGTAATCATCTTTGAGGAAAGTCCCACTCTGTCTCACGCAGATGTGTCTATGAAGAACTTTGACATTGAGCGTACCTCTAAAATTGAGACATCAAGCAGTGCACCTACTCCTGGTACAGAGAGTGAGTCTACTGTAATCTCTCACAAATTATTTCCCACCTAAAGGCACTAATATGGTTCTAAAATCTTGTGTTCTTGTGTTAGACAATAGTATTGTTGAAGAGGAGGGATTCTTACAGACTGCAACTACAATCAGTCCTATCACAGGCACGATAACTGTAGTTGCCTTACCTTCGGAATCACCTCACAAGTTGGAAGAGATCGCAGTTTCTCCTGTGGAACCTCCTGATGTTGAGTTGACTACTCAGAGTGACTTGATAGACCTGGGTTCAGGCTCAGGTTTCTCTGGAGATCATCTAGGTCCTGACATTTGGCCTTGGGAGTCAGGAACACCAGAAGAAGTCTTGAAGGAAGATGAGGTACACCAACCTCAGGAAGATCAGGAATCTATAGTGGAACAGCTTGAGCCTCCCCACCAAGATCTGACACCCGAGGAGCCATTCTTGGACAGGGTTCTTGTGACACAAGACATTCGTACTAATCCTCACTACACAACAACTGACCAAGCTCCGGTTTTTTGGACTATGGAGACTTTGACTGTGGAGCTTTCTATGCAGACCCAAGTAGCCCCTGAACAATATGAAGACTATTTTCCAGATGAATCTACCACTATGGTTACACATGTGACCAGTCAACCGTCACTATATGTCTACACTTCAGCAGGAACCCAAGATGTGGATGCATCACAAAGTTCTGATACAATCAGTTCACCTGCTGATAAGGACTATACAGAACGACGTGTTACACCCACTGTGATCCCACCAAGCACAGCAGTAGCCATAGATGAACAAATTACTTCAACAGAAAACAAGCAGAGTCAGGAAACACTGGCCTCCACAACAAAGTCAAATGAAATGCCTTCAACCACGCCATTACCTGTAATCCTAGAACTTGATACCGTTTCTGTGGAAGGTCCTACCACTTATTCAGAAGCTGTTGAGCTTCCTGTAACCGAAGGTATCATAGAGTTACCTGCACTCTTATGGCCAGAGGTAGAAGAATCAGATGAAGAAGTCAAGATTCTAGATGAGGAGATGGAAGTCATCAAGCTTATGCCTACGGAAAACCCAGTGACTGAACTCTCAGAAGAGGATTTAGCTGGGGATGAGATATTGGTCGCAACAACAGCCCCAACAACAATAGCTACTGAGGAACCAAGTGTAGATCATTCAGCTTCCCTGTTTCCTGAGAAGGACTCTCCGTTCACTCGGATATCACATTCATCAATAGAAGACGAACCTTTACCAGAATCAACCACAGAACCCCTACCTACCCAATCATCTACTCATTCGGTTCTTCAAGAGACGACTCCAGAGACTCCAACTGATGTGATACACACTTATATTGCAACTGTTGCAAAGGAGCCTGTTTTATCAGAGAATGCTGAAGATGGAGACTCAACTATAATATTTCAGTCATCCACAATGTCTGTCATTCCAGATGTTTCAGAACATTCAGAGACCCTTAGTTCCACCACTGTACCATCATTTTATCAGTCAACATTCAAACCTACCAACCAGATAACGTCAGATGACTCAGTACAAGAGCACACAGCAGGATCAAGCCCTGACATCACAGGCCTCATCCTACCTACCAAACTAGTGAACTCTGACAGTACTACTCTGAAAGTTCCTGTTCCAGTAAACCCCAACATAACAGAGTTTGATGTTTCATTTGACATATTCCCATTTGATGGGCCAAACCATGATGAAGACGACGGTAGCGGATTTGCTCGTGGGGCTGACTTGGCAAGTATTGCCTTGCCAGCCAGTCCTGGAAGGGCGTTAATAGTGTTTTTCAGCCTCAGGGTCACCAACATGATGTTTTCCGAAGATCTGTTCAACAAGAGCTCTACTGAATACAAGGCTCTTGAGCAGCAATTCATGGAGTTGGTAAGATATATTTGTCACATTCATTCTTAGGTTCTTACTGTGCTCTACTTTATGGAAAGCAAAACATCAGTAAGAAGGCCATGAGTTATTAATCACAACTGTCTTTAAACATGTTCTTAGGCAGTAATGAGCTTAAGGAACCCAAAGGGATGTTAGAGAGCATGTTTGGGACTGATCACTTTAATTGCACTTTTTCATACAACAGTAGTGAGTGGTGACTGGTGGAATCTTTTGTGTTGCATGGAAATCTTCATTGATGACAAAATGTTCATTTTTGGGTAAACAATTCCATAAAGCATATTCTAAAGTTACACACAGGACAACATCAGTTTAGATTTGTTGATGTTTGTTGTTGTAGAACATTAGGAGGGTTTGTTAGGGGCTTTGCTTACTATCCGTTAACTCCATTAGCAGCTGTCTTTATGAACACTAACTAATGAGATAATTGGAATGGAATTAGAATCTTCAGTCACCTTCTTGACTTCCATTAACGTCACTAGGTATGTGTGGCTCAGTATTGCTGCTTATTGGAATATGCTTTATTTTATTTTATTTTTTCTCTCTAGCTTGTACCATATCTACAGTCCAACCTCAGCAATTTCCAAAATTTAGAGATCTTGAACTTCAGGAATGGAAGCATTGTGGTAAACAGCAGGATGAAGTTTGGCAAGCCAGTTCCCCATGGTGTGACAACAACAGTGTACCTTATCCTAGAGAACTTCTGCAATACTGCTTACCAAACTATGAATCTTGCAATAGACAAATATTCATTGGATGTTGAATCAGGTAACTCGAAGGATTTACATATACACACAAATCACAGAAAACAAATTGGCTGATATGAAGACATGAGTGCATTTTTTGGCATTGCCTGTGGCCAACAATATTCACTAAACATAATTTGATTCTTTAAGGGGCAGAATGCCTGCCATATTATGCATTTTTGCCAATTCAAAGTCATTTTTAAATCCTAGATTTACTAGCACCAGTCACAAGTACTATTTGTACTATTTGTTATAGATTATCACAGTTTGTGCACCACTTATGTTTCATTTGTCATATTTTCAGACAAAATTGATGAGTAACAATAGTTTTGTTTTACTGTTTAGATTTTTTTTGTGTGTGTGTGTGCTACACAGGGAAGGCTTTGTGACTCATATATGTTACAGGAGCCAAACTGATTGGCAAAATAAACATTTCTTCAACACCAGTACTATGAGAGGAAAAAAAAAAGTAAGTTAAAATGTTTATTATTATTATTGGAAATATTATATATATTTACTGTGTGTGTGTGTGTGTGTGTGTGTGCTACACAGGGAAGGCTTTGTGACTCATATATGTTACAGGAGCCAAACTGATTGGCAAAATAAACATTTCTTCAACTGATACCAGTACTAAAAGGCTACTGAACAATTGTAATTGAACAGGCATTAATATGGGCAAAACATATCCTAGACTTACTTAGGGACAAGAATACATGTTTAGGGGACAGGGTTTTTTTTGCCTTTGCCTTTGCCAATATGCAAATAGCAATCCTGAAATTGTACCAGAAAGATCGATAACCACATTCGCTGTGCATTTTGCTGGCACACCTCCAAAATGTGATATCTCAGACGTTTTGAGCAGTATTGAGCAGTATTGAGCAGGTTTCTTCTATGCTAGAGGACATAAGGTTAGGGTTTTCCAGTCTGGCTTTGAAAAACAATAGGCCTTGTTAGGATGAGTGATAAGAGATTGATTCTGTACTCCAGACAGATTAGAGGTGATTTATTCTAGTGAGACTTGTAGAGCTCAATGCGTCAGGCAAATGAGTCATATTTGTTTGTGTCCCTGTGTAAATTCTCTCTGAGCTTCTTTGTCAACACACATCTCTAATGACCAAATGCTGATGCCTTTGAAATCAGAAAATTGTCTTTGTTTTGATGCCACATTTGTAATGAATTGTAATAATGCTTATATAGCAATTGCAGCAAATGCAAAAATAGTCAAATTTATCAACTGGCATCTAAACTTCTAACATCATTGTATTCCATCTTGATTCTAGATGATGGTGCTCCTGTTTGGATATTTGTTTGGATTATTTCAAAATAATATAAAAATTAAATTCATATAAACAATGACTTGAATACAACTATGATGAGTATGTTTTAAATTTATAAATTAAAATTCATTTTTATTTTTGGGATATAAAGTTGTAAACTGTCAGACTGATAC